TCTTTGGCACTATTTTGTGAAGCTACAGTGCCATATAGGAGACCTGTCCTTTTCAGTATTCACAGTAGAATCTTGAGAGATGGATTTAATGAGCCTATGCTTCCATTTGGGGTATTATACCAGTTTAACTGTTCAAAAAGAAAACCACAAAGGCCTACCATTTGTAAAAGTAGACACTCCAGGGTATCTCATAAGGTGCATATTGTGCCTTAACATGCCCCCATTTATTCACCAATATATGCTAAAGTATGTGATAAAAAATAATTTTGTGCGTTTTTTACATATGGATTGCATTTTTGCTGGGCATTTTGTATATTTCACATGTGCCACTAAGTTCAAACCTCCCAAATTATGCTCAGCTAAGTCTTCTGAGTTAAAAGACACCCTCAATGAATGTCTTTGGCACTGTTTCGTGAAGCTACGGTGCCATATAGGAGACCAAGCCATATCAGTTTTTACCAAACTTTGAATTTTGACGCTGGGCCTATGTGCAATTTCCAAGCGTCTTAGCAGGGTTTAAATTCAAACTACCCCACAAAGGCCTACCATTTCTTAAAGTAGAAACCCCAGGGTATTTCAAAAGGTATATTTTGAACCTTCACGTGGGATCATTTTTCCACTAGCTGATGGTAATAAGTGTTTTTTCTGCCTTTTTGACATACAAAGTGAGTTTGCGCAGCATATTTTGCAAACCTTATGTGTGCTATGACTGTATAATACTTCATATGTTGCTCAGCTATGTTGGCTGAGTACAGCAATACCCCCGTATGTACCTTTGCCAGGTATATGTGGATGTTGAAGGGGCGCATTTGAGACGCAGCCATTCAGTTTTTTCTAACTTTGAAGTTTTACGCTGTGTCCATGTTCCAATTTGGAGTAGTTTAGATGGTTGGTTATTGAAACTTTCCCACAAACACATACTATTTATTAAAGAATACACCCTGGGGTAATTCAAAAGGCATATTTTGAACCTTGGCGTGGGATCATTTTTTCTCTAGTTTGTTCCAGGTGTAGTGGTAATGAGCGTTTTTAAATGTATTTTTTTACTTTTTGAAACTTTTTTTACTTTTTAAAACTAGTTTTTAAACTTTTGTTTTGCTTATTAATTTTTTTAAAGTTTCCTAAACTTTCTTTAAACTTTTTTTTACAGATTTAACATTTTTCTAAGGTTTTTCTTTTTACCGTTAACCTCTAACTAGCAGTAAGCAGCACTAACAGTAAATTCCCCATTTTCCCATAACTCCCACCCACCCCAGCTAGCAAAATATATAATTATAAAGTATTTAAATTAATTCATTAAATAAATTGAACCCCTGAGGGTTAAAAAATAAATAAAAGTTAATCCTCAGGGGTTAAAAAAAAATTAGATCACAGTATAATACTGTGATCTGTATTTTGATCACTGTAGGCAGTGATCGACTGGCAGGGAAGGGGTTAATTTTAATTTGGACTGGGTAAAGGGGGTGTTTTCTTACTTAAATGTTATCTAATACAGAGGCAGACCGGAGCACCATTAATCCGGGGTTAATTTTAAAGGGTGACGGACGAGGTCCGTCACTCGTCATTATGGCAATCCCCTGATTGACAGACTTCGGATATCAGAGCTGATGTCCCTGGATCAGCCTTCCCCTCCATTCCTCCTTATGCTGGACCTTATGCGCACACACAGCGATGGCTACCCCATAGTTTAGCATTGCTCAATGTTGTCCAGTGGGGTTTTAGATGATGCTGGATGATCTCATGCAGAGCGTGAGGAAGTCCAGTATCAGTTAGGCAACCAAAAGTAAGTAATACACTTGAAAAAGCTCTATTTGGCAAAATCTGTTGTGTTCTTTATTTTATTGTTTTTATCAATAAAGTATGATTGGCTTTGATCTATTTTAATGTTTTAAACCATTTATTACACTTGTTATGCTTTTATTATTTTTTAAATGTTGTATTGTTCCTGGCACATCCATACTCCTGAAGAATCTGCCCTGCACCTAATACCTGGCAAGGATTACTTTTTTATCACAGTAAGCACTATTGTTTGTATACATCTTTATGCTGTGAGACTAACATCCAAGAGCTACATATCCATCAGAGGGGATTGTTTCAATGTACTCTGTTTCACTCAGAGCTAGTCTATAGCTCTATTAAATGTGAGTTTGAGTCCACATATCCTTGCTGTGTGTTATAAACATAGTACTAGACTATCTGCACTATTGATTATTTTCTGTTACATTACATTTTTCTACCACCAACTGAAGCCTGGATGATTCCCAGCCAAGAATTTGGCACAACCTGTTTTAAGTTTTGTATTGTTCTGTTTTATCTGCAGTAATGGGGTTGAGGGTATCTCTTTCTTTCAGTGGTTGCAGCCTAGAATGCTCATGTAAATTGGTTCCCTAGTGCTTATCCTATGTTGTGTGTTTGTTCTACCCTTAAAGGACCACTATAGTGCCAGGAAAACATACTCGTTTTCCTGGCACTATAGTGCCCTGAGGGTGCCCCCACCCTCAGGGTCCCCCTCCCGCCCGGCTATGGAAGGGGGAAAGGGGTTAAAACTTACCTTTTCCAGCGCTGGGGAGAGCTCTCCTCCTCCGATCCTCCTTCTCTCCTCCCCGTCGGCTGAATGCGCACGCGCGGCAAGAGCTGCGCGCGCCTTCAGCCGGTCACATAGGAAAGCATTCATAATGCTTTCCTATGGACGCTGGCGTGTTCTCACTGTGAAAATCACAGTGAGAAGCACGCAAGCGCCTCTAGTGGCTATCAATGAGACAGCCACTAGAGGAAATAGGGGAAGGCTTAACCCATTCATAAACATAGCAGTTTCTCGGAAACTGCTATGTTTATGAAAAAATGGGTTAACCCTAGCTGGACCTGGCACCCAGACCAGTTCATTAAGCTGAAGTGGTCTGGGTGCCTAGAGTGGTCCTTTAATCCAACTCTTAATCCAACCACTAACCCTACCAATAATCTTTCCCTTAATCCTACACAGTATTGCTGTATCTAGGTGTATATTGCAAAACAATTTGCCCACTTAACAGAGAATGGTTCCAGATTACTTCTGGTGTCTTAACCACCACAGCTGGCTATATAGTGCACCGTATATACTAGAAATAATATGATTACACTCATGTAATACTATCTATCTATCTATCTATCTATCTATCATGAACTTGCCTGTTATAGGCAATGTTTACAAATCAGGTATTGCACTGTTTAAAACACAATGAAGGAGATGTATCTGATTGCTCTGCTTTAATTAATTTGGTGATTGGCTTACTTTTAGTCCACTTTTTATATAAAATTGTTCTTATAAATCTCGCCTAGTTTTACTCTCCTTAACACCTTGTCCAGCATTTCAATGATGACAGTTAGAGGGAGCGGAGAAGGATTGGTTGCATCTTTAGATACTGCTTCCTAACCTAAATTATTTAATATCATTGGATGAATTTAATTTTATTAAAAAAATATATAAAAATATTACAAAATGTAAATATTTTTCAGAATATTCCAAGGACACTATAGGCACCAAGATCACTTCAGCGCATCCTGCAATAAAAATCATTTCAGTTCCAGATAAACAGCAATAACTACATTGCAGGACTAAGACTGCTTCTACTGGCAGTAAATCAGACAGCCACTAGAGGCACTTCCTGATTGTTGGGCAACCTTTGGTCACCTAACTGACACTGAACATCTTCATGCATTAGCACTGTTTCCTGTTGGATGATGTCAGAGGAAGAGGAGCGCTGACCCAGAGCCAACATAGATTGGCGCTTGAATCTGGTGAGTACAGAAAGGGTTTATTAACACTTTTTGATCTGGGGGATGACCAAGGGGGTGGGGAGGGAGGAGGGGGCAAGAGGGACATATAGTGTAAGGAATACAAATTTATTTATTTGTATTTGTATTCATTTTTCTATCACATAGCTATGTTACAATGCTGCCGCCCATACCATGTGTTCCTAATTAAGGGTTTATAAGCATATAGGCAGGGGTGCATATAAAAAATAGCCCTCTCTTTCTTATTAGAGATATCTTTGCAAAAGCTCAAGGAAGCAAGGTAAAAGGTTAGTGTAGGACCCACCTGAGAGGTTTGCCTTGACGTGGCAGGTGAGCTAAACTCTCTCATGGCCGTTGGAGAAGCTAAATAACCTCGATTTGTTTAAATATGCATAGGGATTTGGGAAGAGAGCAGGTAACTTTTTATTCTTTGGTTTTTATTGTATGTATTGGGGCTGATGTGTGTTATGGTCGTTGCTGCTGCCCAAGAGTGATGGGACTTTGATCGCAGGACTTGTTTTTTTGTAAAAATTATTATAAGAAAAAATGCATTTGTTTTATTCACACTTAATGTTGTGTTAGGTATATATATAGGATATTGAATAACATACATTTTTGTACTTTAAAAATAAATCTGTAATTTGTATGAAGGCACTTAAAGAGAAATCATTACATTACAGTGGAACAATCACAGCACAAATTCTAGGTTTTGTTTTGGTTCAGAACTTGGACAATTGCCTCCGTCCTTAAGGGGTTAAGCTAAAGTTGTTTCAGTTCTTATAGTATCACTTTAATCATGACAAAGCTTAGCTAATCAGCGCTTCCTAGCAGATGTTACAGTTTATGATAGGTGTGCAAGGCATACAGTACTGTACAATATATTTATTGATCCATATCTGAAAAGAGGGACATTATTGTATAAAACAAAATATGTGAAGTGGGCATGATAGATGTAGAGTGCATTATTTACAAAATAGATAAATAATTAGTACTGTTTATTTACAGCTTTTAATAGGATTATAGTCTCATATAGCAATGATCAAAGCTTTAAAACGATAACAAGCTACATAATGCTCATTGTATGTCTTTGAAGTGACTATCATAAATAACCCTCAGTGATCTCCCTTGCTGTGTTCATTATGAATAGAAGTCACATATCTTCTTTAGCCTTACTGATTCATTTGCGGAATCCAGAGTCCTAATGAAAAAAGTGTTGTTTTTTTTCCCCCCTAAGCAATGCTGCCTCGTTAATAGCTGATCGCCTGATGTGGTAAAAGAAGGAAGCTAGCCAGCCGGTTACATTTGTGTCATATAATAAAGTAATCTTCCAAACAACGTGGATTTTTCCCATCCTCACATTAAAGCTTTGCAGTTGTGTTCGAATGATCTGCCGTTGTCAGAGAATACTTGGCTTGGTCTGAAATGCAGAAGGGAAAAAAAGGATTATATATCAAAGTTTGTCTCATTTGCTCTGCTGGAAAAAGAACACATTGTGTATTCTATTGCATATGACTGCAAATTTTCTGTGGGAAAATCTTTAGTTTCTATAGTAATAAAAATGAGAGAGAAATGTCTCCCAGTGGATACAATCTTTAAAATTAAGCTATACTCTGTGGATAATGGTTATTATAATATATGAAACATCATTTTATGGGGGGGTACTTTGATATTGCTACTTTATCCCCTAAAGCGCCATTTGCATTATTGGCCATTAACCCAATCAGATCCACAGGTAGAAAGCTTTAACATGGTCTGCAATATATTGTTTCATTGTTGTAAACTGGCATCCTTGCATTTTATGCTATGCATAACTAATTTGTAAAGCTATGGAACCATAATAATAGATTTGAGAACAATGAGTAACCTATGCTTGCAAACAAGATTGAAAGGCTAAGCTCCGGGGATAAGGAACCTCTCATTCCAGAGATTTAATCTCATGCCTTGCGCAGGCAACATTTACTGAGGAACCTCTCAGACCCCTCTCGGTAGACTACCTACGCAGGCACATTACTGACCCCACTCTATTGGTCGCCCACAATTCTGAAACCTCGTAATGTTCCTTATCATTAGAAACACAAGCGGGGATTATACCGCTGTACGCCTAACAAACTAGAGCTAGCAGAAGCTCTACCGAATGTGAGTGTATCTATTATATTTTAAAACCTTTTATTACACGTGTGGAACATACTGCACCATTATTGTTTCCATTTTTATCTCCCACTTGCCCGTCTGCCACCACGTAGAAGAGGACACTCGCCGAATATCCTGTAAGCGGGGATAATACTGCTGCAAGCAATTCACACCAGAGCTGGATTAAGCTCTGTCAACTGTAAGTAAGACCTCTTCTATTTTTACTACTTTGGATCATCCTTCTCATCACTTACATCCTTTGGATAGCGTAACAAGTAGAACTTCGGAGACAACATAATAGATTCTATTAGACTTGTTATTGTTATTTATTGTATACATTGGCGCAGACCCATTCTCCCATTTTTTGCTTTTGCCTATCTATTCCTAAGGACATTAGAGGGAGTCCTTGTCTGGGACTGCTGCCTTCTCGATTAGCGCTGACTCTACTCTCTGTTTCGTTAGAAACATAAGTCTACCCACACACATCCATACATGCCTGTATGTGCAGAATAGTAAGGGTTCTTTTTATTTCTCCTAATGTTTTCTCCTCTGATATGCAATTTAGAACCAGCCTTTTTGTTTTATAAAACAAAAAACAAAAAAACGGCCTGAATTTGCTCCTGGTGATAATTACCACTCTGTCATGTAGCATTGTCGTACCATTGAAATTCCTTTTACTTACCTGCTGTGTTACATGTTATCTGCATGAGATTGTATCATTGATGCTTAATTGCTATCTAACCACGCTTGCCTTAATAAAAACTGGCACCGTTTCAGACTCTGCCTTTGCTCCTCCTTTGCTGACATAGGTGCATGAGCGTCAAGCACTGCACTAATGTTTGTGAAACATCTCTTAACAATTAAGTACAAGTACATAAAAATGTATTAAATTAATGAACAATTAACAAAATGAATGTACAACTGAGGATGCGGTTAATACCAACTGTACATGAGCACATTCACCATACCAACATGGACACAAAAAAAGCCTGAAGAACTTGAAAAGTGGAATTAAACAGAAGATATGATGATGTTATCATGTCACCTACTTATTTAATTCAGATGCTGTATCAAAACAAAAGATTCTTGTACCTTACATAAAAAAAAGCAATCAGCAATAATACATCATGATACTCATACACAGTAATGTGTGTAAAATATTTTGGATCCCAGTTCCAATGGAAACACAAATACTAACTTTAACTTGCAGGAAAAAAAGGTAAAACAACTTGTGTTTTTCAAAAAGAACAGATAACCCTTTACCTAATTATGAAGATGTTTCAAGGAATTTGGAAAATAACCTTGCATATTTATTGTTAGTAACTGGTGGGGGGCTTGTGCTAATACGTTTGGGGCATCCTGTGAGTAATAGTGAAAATCTGTAAATCCTTAATATTTAAAGTGTAATACAAATTAAAGGGATGCTATAGTTACCAGAACAACTACAGCTTAATGTAGTTATTTTGATGTCTATAGCCTGTCCCTGCAGGCATTGTAATATAAACACTGCCTTTTCAGAGAAAAGACAGTGTTTACATTGCTGGCTAGTAACACCTTCAGTAGCAGTCACTCAGATGGCCACTGAGGTGCATCCTGGGTCAGTGCTGCACAATGTGCAGCACTAACATTCAGCATCTCCATGCTCTGAATGGAGGTGCTGAATATTCCCAATAGAGATGCACTGATTCAATGCATTTTTACAAGGAGATGCTGATTGTATCGAAGTGCAGTGTTTTGCTGAGCATATGGGAAAGCCTACCAATGCCTTTCTATAAGAAAGTATGGATTGGCTGAGAAAGTCTATTCTGAGCAGGCAAAGCGGGGGCAGGGCCAGGGGACCTGCGGGCGTTAAAAAAAAAAAAAGTGAATTTTCACTCTTTTAAGCGGGCCACACAAATAGTGATTTTAATCTAATAGGATCAGGAATACACATTTGTATTCCTGTCCCTATAGTGTTCCTTTAAGTTATATAATGATGGACATGATGTAGAAATAGCTGTTGAATTAACAGCCCCATTAGTCATGTTTAGTAGCAGATTGGAAAGTAGAAATGTGGAATGCCTTTTTACAGCACTACTCAATGTCAGAAACAAGCTAAATGTGTCCCTGTTTGATATTTTTATAACAGAAGATTCTATCATTCTGATTATATTGTACTATATTATAAGTTTTTGTTCTGGCCTTATATTTATCAGGATAATGTATTGCTCTTTATTTACTTGAAGTTCTTTCAGCAACCATAACTAACAAAATGCCATCTGTTAATCTCAGCACTTGAGTTCAGTTAAGGATTTCCAGATTTATTATTTTTTTTCTTAATCAAATCATTTGATGGGTCATATTTCTATATAGTAGTTGTATGAGCTGGCCACTGCAGAGAGGAAGGGAAGGAACTGAACAGTCCTAGCCCTCTTTAGAGCATTTTAAGAAAACGTGAATGGGGTGCCAAAATACATTAAATTCAGTGCTCCCATGACAGAAAATCAAAAAGTTATCCTTTTCTTTCTAAAGGCATATTTCTGATTGATCTGCAGAAACAGAGAGTACAAGAAAGAAAGAGAGAGTATATACACACACTAAAACATCTCTTTAATTTCTTAATTTAATATCTGACACGTAAAGATTCTCATTAAGCCAGTCAATGAAGCCTGGAAATACAATTTTCGTGCAAACTGTCGCTATCATAACTTACATGAAACTTCAGATGGTGCGCTGTAAGCAATGTGATTAAAACCATTCATCTTTGCTGTCAAATTCTTCCTCTTGTTATTAAACGAAGGGGTTTTGTAGGCTTTACCAGCTGACAACTCCATTTGGGAGGGGAGGCACAGCAAAAGGAATAAGCCAGCTAAAAATATATAACATATATGTGTGTGTGTGTATATATATATATATATATAGTTCACAGTCATAAACATTTAAAGACTGGGTGGCTGGCAAACTGAATGTTAAGCAGGCAGAAAAAAAGATCAAAGCAAGGTTTCACGGCTCTTAAAAAAGTTGTTCAATTTAGCTTTTTATATGATCTAGCTCAATGGTTCCCAACCTTTTTTCACTCAAGTACCCTTTGGCAGCCCATTTCCATAAATTGTACCCCTCCATATTACCGATATGTGTGTAATGAACATAGTTGCTATTATTTCAAATATATTTGTTTTTCTTTACCATAGGCTCTCCTTGCTCTCTCTGCTCTCCCTGCTCTCCCCACTGCCCCAGGCTCTCTCTGCTCTCCCCTCTGCCCCAAGCTCTCCCTGCTCTCCCCCATGATCTCCCTGCTCTACCCAACAGCCCCAGGCTCTCCCTGCCCCCCTCTGCCCCAGGCAGTCCCTGCTCTCCCCCTCTGCACCAGACAATCCCTGCTCTCCCCCTTTGCCCCAAGCTCTCCCTCTCTGCCCAAGGCTTTCCCTGCCCCCCCTCTCTGCCCCAGATAGTCCCTGCTCTCCCCCTCTGCCCCAGACAGTCCCTGCTCCCCCCCTCTGCCCCAGACAGTCCCAGGCTCTCCCCCTCTGCCCCAGGCTCTCTCTACTCTCCCCCTCTGCCCTAGGCTCCCCCTGTTCTGCCCTAGTCTCTCCCTGCTTTGCCCCAGGCTCTCCCTGTTCTATGCCTCTGCCCCAGGCTCCCCACACATGTAGATACACAGATACAAACACTGACACTAATTGTGTCAGTATGTATATCAGTGTGCCTGTGTATCTGCATGTGTCAGTGATTGCATCTATGTGTCTACGTGTCTGCATGTGTGGCAATGTTTGTATCTGTATGTCTGTACATCTGCATGTGTGTCAGTGTGTGTATTAGTGTGTCTGTATCTGCAAGTGTCAGTGATAGCATCTATGTGTCTACGTAGACTTTTGAAATAGAGTAGCCTATAGACCTGAGGCCCAGAGGACACAAGAAAGGCCCTATGGCTCTGTGTAATCTAAAAATTAAAATGTATTATGATATATTAAAACAAACATAAATACAACATATACACAAAAACATGCCACATATAATCTCATAAAGGAGTTAATTGGTGGACCATATGAACCTGAATGTGTGCATCAGATGCAAAAGGCTACTTAAATAATTCAAGATATGTTATGCAGCCCATAAATTGCATAAGCTGATCCAGCCCGTTGGATAGGAACGGAGAGCAATAATCCTTGTAAGATCTAGCTCTACCTATTATGCTTTTCTGATTTTAATCACTGCACAGTTTATTTTTTGCACCTTAATAATGGTAGGATAATTTTGTTGGGTATTCTAGGAGGGGAAACCCTCAAGCATGTGAACTGTTTGCGAGGTGGCCTGCAGGTAGAATGGAAGTGCTGCAATCTTTTTTTTAGCCTCTCTGTAACCCTAGTTCATATCCAGCTAATAGCATCAGGCAGGTTTTTTTTTAGGAAATGCATCTCCATCTACACGGATATGATATATCTATTTAGTTTCTCTGGGTGAGTCTACAGCAAGAATTCATATTAGCCACGTATGCTAGGCAGTTTCTGCTTCTAATTGCTATACTTCCACCTCAAGTATAAAGTGTCATCCTAGTTATCTCCAGGATTCAGATAGAGTTAGAGCTGCCCAAGAGAGTCTGGGTTGAACCAGTTAGATACTTCATCTCTATATAAATGGCATCGGTATATAGATGATATTTTAATCTTTTGGCTAGGCTCTTTTCCACAGTTTGGAGAGATGGTGGCTAAACTCAATCATAATGAAATCAATCACTCATGTCATTGATGAGAGACACTTGGTCTTCCTGGATTTAAATATAATTATACTTGAAAATGGAGAGATCAGTACTTCATTATTCAGGAAACCCACAGCAACCAACAGCCTGCTTCATTGGCAAAGTTTCTACCCACATCACCTCAAAGCCAACATACCATACGACCAATATTTAAGAGCTAAGAGAAATTGTTATAATCAAGATTACTATGAAAACGAAGCTAGGGAACTTAGGATCAGATTCAAATCCCTGGGTTACCCTAATAGGATTTTGAAAAAAGCCTATCACAGAACTAAAACTGTGGACAGGTCTGAGAGTCTGCATAGGCTACCTAGAGAACCCTCCACATCCTCTGGCATAACTAGGTTCATAGGCACATATGTCAAACATTGGAACACAGCACAACAAATACTTAACAGAAACTGTCCGGTACTGCAATATGATACATGTCTTAGCAATACTATTGCCAAACAACCCTCAATGACGAACCAACAAGCAAGTAACCTAGGGGACATCTTAACACATAGTCACTTGAAACCAACACAAACTACACCTACTACACCTATCTGGCTTCAACCAACTCAAGGCTTCTTTAAATGCGGCCACTACAAAGCTTGTGATTTCATCTTGCCTACAAAAACTGTCCCTAATAAAAGAACATCCAAAGAGATAGTTATTAATGCTTTTGTCAACTGTAGTTCCACAAACGTCATCTACATCATAACCTGTGAATGTGGATTAAAATACATTGGCAAAACCTATCAGCAGACGGATTTTACAACATATCAACTCTATTACCAATCTACATGTTGAAACTCCAATTGCAAAACATGTACGAGTGAACCATGCCTCTAAACCCAATGTTCTCAAATTTCAGGTGATACAGAAATGATCTCTAAACCATCGCAAAGGGGACATCAATATCTCCCTACTTAAGGCAGAATCCCGTTGGATTTACCTATTTCAAACACAATACCCCAAATACATAAATTGTGTATACGAGATTGTCAGACTTCCTCGAGTCCAACTTTCTGCTATACCCGCTTCAGTCTGGTTTCTGCGCTAAGCACTCTGTAGAAACGGCACTGACCAAAGTATCCAATGATCTACTCGCTGCAAAATCTCGTGGTCACTAATCTATCCTAATTCTCCTTGACCTGTCTGTGGCTTTTGACACTGTTGATCATCAACAGCTTCTTCTCATCCTCCGCAATATCGGACTACAAGATATTGCTCTCTCCTGGTGCTCCTCCTACCTCTCCCAGCACTCTTTCAGTGTTTCTTTCTCTGGCTCTGGTTCTTCTCCCCAACTCCTCTCTGTTGGTGTCCCCCAAGGTTCAGTCCTTGGTCCCCTACTGTTCTCCATCTATACTGCCTCCCTTGGTAAACTCATTAGCTCCTTTGGCTTCCAATATAATTTCTATACAGATGACACGCAAATCTACCTGTCCTCTCCTGATCTCTCCCCGTCCCTCTTGACTAGTTTCTCTGACTGCCTCTCTGCTGTTTCTAAATGGATGGCTGCCCACTTCCTTAAACTAAACTTGACCAAAACTGAAATTCTGGTCTTTCCTCCCTCAAATGTTGTTACTCCTGTGTCTGTCTCCCTCCAAGTCAATGGTGCTATCATCAGCTCCACCACACAGGCTCACTGCCTAGGTGTTCTCTTTGACTCCGACCTCTCCTTCAAGCCTCATGTTCAATCTATTGCCAAATCCTGTCATTTCCATCTCAAAAACATTGCACACATCCGCCCCTACTTAACACCAGATGTGACTAAGGTGTCTGTTCGTCCACCCATTGTAAAGCACTGCAGAATTTGACGGCACTCTATAAATATCATAATAATAATAATAATACAGAACCACATAGAAAACATAGAGGCTTTGAAAATGTTGCTGTGTGTACAAAATATAGTGCTGCTACCAGTTATTTGAAAGACAAACAACACATTTTCCAGTGTATTCCCTTTGTCAATGCATTGGGACATGATGCATTGACAAAGAGATTACCCCAAAACATTTGTTGTTTTTCCTTCAAATAAATGGTAGTAGCATTCTGTTTTGTGCACACAGCAACTGTTTGCGCTGCCTCTGTTTTTTCTATTTGGTGCTGTTTTTAGCTTGTGCTAACTGTGCCCCTCCTCTGCATCCTTGACAGTCTCAGCAAATCCAATGCTTTCCTATGGTAATGCATTGTAATTGGCTTTGAATAACACTTCTGATTATGTCAGCCAAGCAGGCAGATCTGGGGCAGAGCCAGCGCTAGCGGACTGGAATAAAAGTAATATATTACATATTTAAGGTACAAGGGGGCATGGGGCAGCATGGGGGCCAAATGGTGTTTTTAACATTGTAAGGTCAGGAATACATGTTTGTGTTCCTGAGCCTAAAGTGTTCCTCCTTTAAGCTATATTGGTTCTGATGCTTTGATCGCCTCTTTAATATGAATTTAAAATGTACAACATCTTGTGAAAAAAGGTTAACAGAAGTTAGGTGACTTCCAACTTTGTAAATTCCAAGGAAGTAACGGTTCCAATCAATTAGCTAAAAATGCAACAATTAATATAGTTAAGGTTTTCAATCTGTGTGCTTGTTTAAGCTACGCAATATATACAATGTATGTGTATTTTAGTTTATTTTATTTTTTTTACTTTCAGGTACAGACCTGATTAATATAACAAAAAATCATGTAAGGTGATCAGCCTTTTACAAACCAAGCAAAGTACATAATAATGTCTTAACGTCTATCCATTTCATGTAAACTCACAGCATAAAACTGCAAAAAAAAAAAAGATGTAGTGGATAATATACTGCATGTCTGATCAATAAGCGTCTCAGCAGGGATGAATGTGATGTAGCATTAAAAATGATATCATTTTCATTTGCTTTATTTTAGGCCCAGGGGGGTTGTCTGTCTTCTGATCTTGAAAAGAAATTTAAAGCTAACTTCCTCCAGAATCATAAATTATTCTTGATGCTGATGTTTCTGGTGAAAACTATTTACCCTGCTAAGTTGGCAAGTGAATACCGTGAAAACATTATTACAGTGACTATAATAAAAAGGAACAATAACTGTCCAGCCAGTGAAGGATGCTTATATCAAGAAGAAATATGAGAAGAAAGAGTAATTTTCCATCTGAAATGGAGTTTAGACACTTCAACTATCAGCATTTTTCCTTGGTTCCAGACATGAAAAAAAATTACATAAACACTGCACTGTTTATGCAGTTACATAACCTTTAGTGTTGTGTTGAAGTACTTACCCTTTTGCTCCTCTGTAAAGATAGGTTATTTTTTGTGTGTAGAAAGTTATACTTTTTTTTTTGTGGGGAAACAGAAGAAAAATGATACAAATATTTTTTTTTAACATATGTATTAATAGAGTTGCCAATTCAACCACTAACCAAAGCTCAAAAGCTTATTTTTTTTTATGCGTCATTGTTGACATGTTTTAAAATTGCCACATTGAGTACACAACACATTTTAGTTTCCAGATACCAAACGCTAGTGTTGTAGTAACTCATCCATGATAGAGTTTTCCATGGATCCTTTTCACTTCTGCCAGGGTCTCCTATCAGGGAATTTAGTGTGTTAAAATGTGACATGGGTGTCTCTCCACCCATGTCTGAGTGGTTGCTCAATGTCAACATTCAACTTTCTTTAGTACTGTTAACTATTAAGTAGTCCTACTTTTTCTTATGTAATACAATTAAACTAATAGAGGGAATAAAAATAATAAATTTAAAAGCAAAACTTGCTACATTAATATTGAGTAGTTATTTTGCTTTATAGTGGATCTCTTTAAGCCAGGAGAGAAAACTCTACTACATATACAGTAAGGGGGAAAAGTATTTGATCCCTTGCTGATTTTGAATATTTGCATACTGACAAATAAATGATCAGTCTATAATATTAATGGTAGTTGTATTTTAACAGTGAGAGACAGAGTAATAAAAAAAATAAAAATCCAGAAAAACTCATGTCAAAAAAAGTTATAAATTGATTTGCATGTCAATAAATGAAATAACTATTTGACACCTTCAACTTAATACTTGGTAGAAAAAAACCTTACTGGCAATCACAGAGATCAGCCGTTTCCTGTAGTTGGCCACCAGGTTTGCACACATATCAGGAGGGATTTTGTCGCACTTCTCTTTGCAGATCCTCTCCAAGTCATTAAGGTTTCGAGGCTGACATTTGGAAACTCGAACATTCAGCTCCTTTCACATATTTTCTATGGAATTAAGGTCTGAAAACTGGCTAGGCCACTCCAGGTGTCTACTTATTGAGCCACTCTGCTGTGGCCTTATGGGTCATTGTCATGCTGGAATACCCATCCACGATCCATTTCAATGCCATGGCTGAAGGAAGGAGGTTCTCACCCAAGATTTGACGGTACATGGCCTCATCCATTGTTCCTTTTGATGAGGTGCAGTTGTCCTGTCCCCTTAGCAGAAAAACACTCCCATGTTTGATTGTGGGGATGGTATTCTTGGGGTCATAGGCAGCATTCCTCCTCCTCCAAACAAAGCGAGTTGAGTTGATGCCAAATAGCTCGATTTTGGTCTCATCTGACCACAGCGCTTTCACACAGTTCTCCTCTGACTCATTCAGATGTTCATTGGCAAACTTCAGATGAGCCTGCACATGTGCTTTCTTGAGCAGGGAGACCTTGCGGGCACTGCAGGATTTCAATCTTTCATGACATAGTGTGTTATCAATTGTTTTTATTGGTGACTATGGTCCATGCTGCCATGAGATCATTAACAAGATCCTCCCTTGTAGTTCAGGGCTAATTCCTCACCATTCCCATGATCATTGAAACTCCACGAGGTGAGATCTTGCATGGAGTACCAGACCGAGGGAGACTGACAGTTATTTTGTATTTCTTCCATTCACAGCAACTGTTGTCACCTTCTCACCAAGCTGCTTGACGATGGTCTTGTAGCCCATTCCAGCCTTGTGTAGGTCTACAATCTTGTCACTGACATCCTTGGACAGGTCTTTGGAATCTGATTGATTGATTGCTTCTGTGGACAGATGTCTTTTATACAGGTCCTTGAGAAGAACATGGTTATCAGCAAAAATCAGCACGGTTTTATGAAGCACAGGTCATGTCAAACTAACTTGAGTGCGTTCTACGAAGAAGTAAGTAGAAGTATAGATCAGGGTGTTGAAGTGGATGTGCTCTATTTGGATTTTGCCAAGGCATTTGATACAGTTCCACACAATAGATTAGTATTCAAACTCTTCTTGGGTAGAACATTGGCTTAAAAACAGAGTACAAAGAGTTGTCATTAATGGTTAATTTTCAAGCTTGACAGAGGTGGCAAGTGGTGTCCCTCAGGGGTCTGTTCTGGGACCCCTTCTATTTAACATGTTTATAAAGGATCTTGAAAAAAGCATTGAAAGTCATGTTTCAGTGTTTGCAGATGACACAAAACTCTGTAAAATAATATAATGTGAGCAAGATATTACTTTGCTGCAGAGGGATTTAGATAGACTGGGGACTGGGCACTCAAATGGCAGATGAAATTTAATGTTGAAAGATGCAAAGTTATGCACTTCAGCATAAAGAATACACAAGCAACGTATACCCTTAATGGAAGCGAATTAGGGATAACAACACACGAAAAGGACTTTGGAATTGTTATAGACAACAAACTATGCAACAATGTGCAATGTCTATCAGCAGTGGAAAGAAGATTTTGTCTAAGCCAAAGGAAAGGTTTTTTTTTTACTGTAAAAACAATCAGGATGTGGAATTCCCTGCCTGAAGAAGTGGTTTTATCAGAGTCCATACAAATGTTCAAACAACCACTGGATGCATACTTGCAAAAACAGAATATTCAAGGATATAATCTTTCAATATAGAGTAATAACTGCTTGATCCAAGGATAAATCTGACTGCCATTCTGTGGTCAAGAAGGAATTTTTTTCCTAGCTTGTTGCAAAATTGTGCTTCAAACTGTTTTTTGGGTTTTTTTTGCCTTCTTTTGGATCAACAGCAAAAAACAAATGTGAGGAAGGCTGAACTTGATGGACGCAAGTCTCTTTTCAGCTATGGAACTATGTAACTATGTAGGTAACAAGCTGAGATTGGGAGCACTCCCTTTAAGATAGTGCTCCTATTCTCAGCTCGTTACCTGTATAAAAGATACATTGGAGACAGAAATCTTGCTGATTGATAGAACAACTTGCAACTTGGTAGAATAATACTTTGACATTCATTTTTCTGAGCCCTGCAGTGGTATAGGGAGATTGGGACATATTGATATAAAACAGTGCCTCTACCCAGTGATCAACTGATGTACACCTCCC